AAAGAAGTTTTAATCAATCATTCTAATAATAATTCAATGCCGTCATACAGCAGCCCAATCGACATGGAATTTGAAATGTAAAACATTATGTGGATTACAATATTATACAGGGTGAGGCAATGAAAGTGCCCCAATTTATAAATAATACAAACTCTATAATATTTACCCTATCTGATATAAATAGCACTTCAAAGCACAGCTTTTTTTGCCATTTTATCTTAACAAAGTCATTTTTCCATTTCTTGAAAACAAAATCCTGCAAGTGACGTCCTTGTACTACTTAACATTCCTTTTTAGTCACTTGAAAACTCCATCAAATACTCCTCCAGCTAATCAGGAATCACTTTGGTATTTGGAACATTCTTAGCTTCGGTTCAAGCAAATCTTTGATGCGACTTTAAAAACTTTGAACTTCAATTAGCTTATCAGAATCCCCCCCCCCCCCCCCCATAAAGGGCCAACGTAAAGCTTTCAACTAAAAAGTTTCCTTGAAAATCTCTTTGGACCTTGAATTACTGTGACTCACAATCTTTCAACATTTGCTGGTGTACAAAGAGTTTTGCGGCACCCATTGATTATTTTTAAGGATTAAGCTGCTATCCTAAATAATTTTACCCAGTTCACCATAGTTTTCCAATCTGGAACAGTGCCATGTTGACCAAGGATGGAATGTGGTCCAAACAATCTCAAGGTATTTGCACAAGAATCACTATTTTAAAAATAGGTTTCCACATCAAATTCTCACTGTTAATAGCCTCAGGCATATTTACTAATTGTTGGTATTGCTATAACCAGCTGATCTCTAGTTGTTGATTATCTTATGTTATGATTTCTTAGAATAAACACTTTCTTGTTTCGAATTGATTATTTAATTAAAATTGTTTTAATTAATACATAAATGAACATGGTGTCAGTAGTACCAAATCCACTGGACTTAAGTGACCCAACGAGAGTACGAGAAAACTGGGAAGTGTTCAAGAAACAATGGAAGAACTATTTGATATTAGCTGAAGCAGGAGCATTAGGTGGTACAAGGTTAAGTACACCTAAACTGAAGATGGCCATGTTTTCAACTGTAATTGGCCGTGATGGACTATGTTTGATTGAAAGAATACTTGGCTCCAATGAATCAACCCTGGATCAGGTAATTGAAGCTTTGGATAAGTATTTTTTAGGGACAAATAATTCTTTGTATGAGAGATTTATTTTTAATGGCATTGTTCAAAAGACTGATGAAACGATTAAAGACTTTATAGGTCGTCTAAAAGAGCAAATACGATTGTGTGACATTGATTCTTTAGCAAATCTCAACAAGACAGGCCTTGAAGATACTCTAATTTGCGACCAACTTGTTGTAGGTATAACCAATACTGAATTAAAAAGAACACTTTTGCGTAGAAAAGACCTAAAACTTGATGAGGCTATAGAAATTTTTATGCATCATGAAACAACTGAAAGGTTTGTTACAAAAATGACAGTGAAATCAGAAGATGCGGCATTTCAAGCAAAGAGTAGACACTTAGATAACAAATGGAAGTGTCGTTTTTGTGGTAAAAACCATATTAAGGGAGCAAAAAACTGCCCTGCGTTTGGCAAAGTTTGCACCACCTGTAAAAGGAAGAACCATTTCAGTAGCGTGTGTCGAAGTTCCGGTAAAGTTAATTTGCTCCAAGATAATGACAGTGAAGCAAATCAAGATAGCCAAAGTGAAGAGGAAGTGATGGAGCTTAACAATATCCAGTATAAAAAACGACTTTTTGTAAAAATGATGGTCAACAAAAAGCTCAGAAAGTTCCAGCTTGACTCAGGTGCAACTTGTAACGTTATGGGGCTACGAGATCTAAAAACTATTCTTGACAATGAGAATCCTAAACTTAATAGTAGTTCCACTACTTTGTGTTTCTATGGCGGGTCATCCCAAAACTCACTAGGCAGCATTGTGCTTAAAGCAAAATTCAAAAAGAATATTTTTGATTTAAAGTTTGTAATTCTGAATTCTGAGAGAAATCCTCTTATAGGAGCAGCAGATTGTCTTCGACTAGGATTGATTACGACAGATGAAAAGGTCTTCCAGGCTCTCACAGCATCTAACCAAACGGCCACACATCAACATACGATATTTGATAAATTTCCTACTGTATTTGAAGGATTAGGTAGTTTTGAAGGTCTTTGCAGCATAAGAACTGACCCGTCGGTACCACCTTCAATAGCAGCACCCAGGCGACAACCTCTAGCATTGAAGAAAGAAATATGTGCTGAATTAGATAGACTTGAACAGCTCGGAGTCATCGTCAAGGTAACAGAGCCTACTGATTGGGTTCAGTAGTAGTGAAGAAACCTAACAAGATACGACTTTGTATAGATCCTTTTCACCTTAATAAAGCCATTAAAAGATCTCATTATCAAGCACCAACTATTGAGGAAATAGCTCCACAGCTATATGGAGCAAAGTTCTTTAGTGTTCTGGACCTTAAGGATGGGTTTTGGCATGTAAAGCTAAATGAGGAATCAAGCAGGCTAACTACGTTTTGGACCCCCAAAGGTAGATTTCGTTGGACTAGACTACCTTTTGGTGTTGCTAATGCTCCTGAAGAGTTTCAACGAAGAGTTCAAGAAAACCTCGAGGGCCTTGAAGGAGTTGTGGCAATAGCTGATGATGTTATGGTATTTGGAAAAGGAAACACCGTTCAAGAAGCTAAGATTGACCATGACAAGAAGCTGAATGCTCTTCTGCAACAAGCTCAGCGTAAAGGGTTAAAGGTTAACAAGGATAAGTGTAAAATAGGTGTAGAAAAAATTCCATACATGGGACATCTCATTACAGCAGATGGGTTGTGTCCTGACCCTAGCAAAGTAGAAGCTATAAGAAAACTTTCAGCTCCTACTTCAAAAGAAGAAGTCAAGAGATTTTTAGGTTACATCGTGTACTTATCAAAGTTTCTACCAAGACTATCAGAAGTAGCAACACCGCTTAGAAATTTGCTGAAAGATGATAGTGAGTGGGTATGGGACAGCCCACAGAAAGATGCTTTTCAAAAGTTGCTCAAGATGGTCCAAGAAGCTCCAACATTAAAGTACTTTGACCAGACACAGAGTTGTGTTGTGCAATGTGACGCCAGTCAATATGGCCTAGGTGCTTGCCTCATGCAGCAAGGTAAGCCAGTTGCTTATGCTTCAAGAACATTACCATAAGACTGAACTTGCCTACACACAAATTGAAAAAGAGTGTCTAGCTATTGTGTTTGGACTTGAACGCTTTGAACAGTATTTGATGGGACATAGAGATGTTATAGTTGAATCCGATCACAAGCCCTTGGAGGCAATATTCAAGAAGCCATTGATTTCAGCTCCTAAGAGACTGCAAAGGATGCTTTTACGACTTCAAAAATACAGCTTCTGTGTACAATACAAACCAGACACATCAATGCATGTAGCAGATTTTCTGTCTAGATCGCCTCTTACAGAAACCGGCAGAGAAACAGTTGACGACCTAATTTTTCAAGCAGAGTTGGAGAACATTAACGATTTAGACAACATAAATATTACCGATGAGAGGATCAAGGAGATAAAAGAAGAGTCAAGTAAATGCCCTGTTATGAATAATCTTGTGGACACGATTAAAAAAGGGTGGCCTGAGAAACGTACTCATGTTCCTCAAGAACTACAGGAATACTGGAGTGTTAGAGATGAATTATCAGCGGTAGATGGAATCGTAATAAAAGGAGACCGTATAGTAGTTCCGCGTTCTTTGAGACCTGCCATGCTTAAAATTCTACATTCTTCTCACCAAGGAGTTTAGTCGAAAATGGCAAACTGTGCTTACCCGCAAGACGTGTTGCAACTATTGTTGTTTTCTGAAAATTGTTCGCATTTAAAGAAAAACTTAGGTTTTAGAAAAAAACTTAACCCTTAATTTGTCTTATACTTTTCTGGTGACTGAAGTGTTTTTAAAACACAATGAAACACTTTTGTGCTGGTCATTCCACAAACATTACCTGGACTGCACCTCACGTATCAAACGTTTTCTGCTGTTCCTCTGCCATTTTAGGCTGCTTTTATAGTTATAAAGTCAGCTTTATGCATGACTCACCTGAGCGGCAAGCGGCATTTAGGCGAAAATCGGTTTTTACTTGGAACCATGAGCGGCGTTGCTTACCGCCGCTCGACGCTCAGAGGTATCGTGGCCATCCTCAACAAATTTACAAGCAATTAAATGAGACCCGATGTCAGAGCTCACGCCGCTCTTGTATCGTACCCGGGGCCTATAGGTACATTCAAATGTTTTAATTTACATCATATAAAATTTTCACATTGATTACTTGATAAATATTTTTAATTTAGCTAATTAACTTATCTATAAATGTTTTATTCAATCCCAGCAAGGCTCTCAGTCTCCCAGTATAGTGAGACAATGGGTCAGTTTCAGTTAGAATGAAAAAATAATAGTAATAAACATATATTCCATCAATAATTACCTCCAGGGGCCCATTTCATAATAAACTACAAGTTACAAGTTACAACTTGTAACTTGTAATTTCCATAAGATTTGCATTGGGCGATCAGCTGATTTACTAATAATATTAGTTTGTACTTTATTATGAAATGGGCCCCAGGTGACCAAGTAGCAATCAATTAATTTTGTCTTGTGGAGTGGTGCATTAAATGCTGGTAAACACTGATGTAGAAATTTCCACAGCACAGTGCTTAGCAGCAAACAAACAACTGTATTTTTGCCCTATTTGAAGTATTGACATGCTTTTCTCCTAATTAATAATGTTTGCATTAGATATATATTCATCACCAAACTGTTTGCTTGTAAGACAAACTTTTCTGCATCTATAAATGCATGTATTGTGTTGTAAAAATGGTGTTTATCATTGAAAATGAATAAATGAAAATATTCAGTACTTACATAATCAGTTTTCTCATAAAAATTTATTTATTGCATGTCCACTATTGTTCAATAAAAACTACAAAGCTAGTTGAAATATATGACTTACTGCAGTAGGGTGCTTTATCACTGGTCATAAAGAAGTATTTACTTCCAGGTAAACCATTTCCTTTTAGAGATTTGAGTCCCATTACAGCTGCTCCGACACCTCTAGAAGAGAAACATTCTCCCTGTTGAAAAAAAGTGTATGTTCATTTGATTATACAAAAGGAAACTTGGAAACAGGTGGACAGGGTTTTTGTCACAGCTAATTTGAGTAAACGGCTGGGCGTAGAAACTTGGCAGGGGTGTCCTAAGAATGGTCTTGGTCTTTAGATGAGCCATCAAAAGAGAAACTAGGTAAATTCCCTTGGGGCTCTGCCCCAGAGGCTTTTAAAGTTCCCTCAGCAGATTTGTTTACTTTACGGCCATATGGGCAATTTTACACTACTTACTGAACTACTAAATGCATGTTATGAGCATTTACTTAATCTGTCAACATGAAATGTTTACATTATTATTTATGACTAGCTGTGTGCCCGTTCTACGCACGGAGATCTTATCGTAGTTAGTTAAAACCTTCTTATATTAAGCACAGCAGTTGGTTTGCATACTTTCAGATAGATATAAGATGACCCAAAATTCTGTCGAAATGCTAAATGAATCGGCTTGCTATATGAAATGAAGTACTATAGACGATTTAGAATGGTAATTTATAATAAAAATTACCAAAATAGGCCACGAACCACTGATACATAAACAACGTTTAAAGCGTTTGAATAAATTTAAGTTTCCCAGCCGTATACAACACAAAGAATCTCTGGTTCCTGACCTGGATGGTGCCTAGTTATTTAATTTAATTTACGGTTACACTATATTATTCCACTTGCGATTAATTAAATCCTTTATGTAAGGAAAACGTTTTTAATCTCACTTGGATGGGATTTGCCTTCAAAACGTGATCGGAAATGGTTGCGGTATTTGTAAACAACATTTGTAAACATATCAGGGACAGCTAGAAAAAATAATCTTGATCCGAACAGCTGTTCGTTATTTCATAGATGATTACGTGATAAAAATTGGACGAAAACTTGACAAAAATCGCACAAAACTGCATTTTTGAACGTCCGTAATTTTATTTACAAAGTAGTGGGGCCATATTTTAATAGCTAAAGACACTCTCGCCAATCCAGTGAATTCATTAAAATGACTTGGATCTTGATAGGTACTCTCGTCTTCCTGGAGAAGATTGCGTAAAATGCCATCTTGAGTGTTACAGACAGACAGAAAGACAGACAGAAATTTGGATGAGACTTGTTTCGGCTTCTTTAATGTATAAAACATAAAAATAACCTAAAAATTTATGATTCTGAACAATGTACAGGCAAAACTCTAATTTTATTTATATAGATTTTAAAATTGATTTTCCACTGCATGTTAAGTTTTTTAGAGTTTGAATTAAATGATGAATTTATGATAGATACGGTACGTTTTATTTAATTTTTTTCAAAAATCTATGTTTTAATGAACTTATAAAATGTTGTATTATGAAATCACTGGGACATAAGGAACAGATAATTATTCCTTATCGGGTTAGATTATATTTATTTTAGGGGTTGGTGCTTGCCTTTTTTGGTCTACTTTCAATAACCATATAACATTACATTCAAGAAAGAAAGTCAGAGGTTTGTGAGATTATTAGCATAAAAGTTTTCAATAATCAGGTAGAAAATTGTGTCATAGAATAAAAGCCATGCAAGTGTAGATGAGTACGTTGAGGATGTGAGCTGTGTTCAAGTTTTTACCACGGAGTATGTTTAATCTATGGTTTTGGTGAAGTAAGTTAGGTGAATTGAAGGCAATTCAGGTATTAATTAAATAAAACAGTGCCATCACATCTCATCTCTTTTGCATAATTTGTTGCCAACAAAGCCGGACTAGGTTATGGATGTGGTTCTGCAAATGTTCAAGATTTGTGTCCAAATTCACTACAATTATGGTCCATTCCATCCACAAAATACATGCACAACTTTATGTGATCCATACGGCCAAGGCAATTGACCCTTGCATATCAATAAAGTTCAAGTTTGACAGCAACATCATGGCACGATTTCACAAAACTACGCCAGAAGTTAACCATTCAACACTCATCTTCACTCTGTGACTCCGGTCACTGGTCACTAGTGTGTCGGCATCGTAATAATAATATAATCTAATCATATTGATTGTGAGGTGTTTAAATCTTAGTGTAACTTACCTTTAGGAAAGATTGGTATGTAGCACAGGGGTGTCCAATATATGGACACTCTCCATTTATTGACTCAATAAAAAGTCTGAAACCATAAGATACATAAACTGATGATTTAAATTGAGCTACCATTTATTATAATCCTAAATTTATGGTTATACCTATTGAAAATGTTTAAATTTAAATCATCATTGTGATATTTTAACCCTTAACTAACTTAACGTTAGAGCTCTGAAAAAAATCTAAACCTAATTATCTCAGGTTTAAACATATTATGTCATATTAAAGAATAGAATAATAATAAATATTGTGCTGATGAAGAGTTAGACAAATCGTTGTAACATTTTCTTTAAACGTAGATTTTTTATTTATTATAAATGCTTGAAAAATGTAATATTTAATCAGCTCCTTGGTAATTGTTTGTAACATTTAATATAGGTATAACCAACATTTTATTTTCAAAATTTTACATTATTAACACTTAGCAACGTCACAAAATTAAATTAAAACATTCATCACTATTGAATTTTATCCTCCTGATCACATTTAAATACTACTAGCTGTAACCCGCGGGCTTTGCCCCGTTTAACTTCTTAATTTTCAAGATGATCTCGTTTGCATGGCTCAGTCACGTCCTGGTTGAAGTTCGTTCTCTACGCTCACTCACCTTTAAGTTGGAGCTCGTTCGCTACGCTCACTCACCTTTAGGTTGGAGCTCGTTCGCTGCGCTCACTTGCCTTCAGGTTAGCTCGTTCGCTACGCTCACTTGCCTTCAGGTTAGCTCGTTCGCTACGCTCACTTGCCTTCAGGTTAGCTCGTTCGCTACGCTAACTCGCCTCCGGGTTGAAGTTCGTTCGCTACGCTCACTCACCTTTTGGTTGCAAATTAGTTGTTGTCATAAATGTAAAAGAAATAATAGTGCTGCACCCTGTTGGTAATCCTTGTAACTTTAATGCTATTGAACATCATAGAACAGAACCAACTTGTTTAATTGAAACAGCTGTTAAGATTCATTAATTCCATTTCTCATAAGGTTAACATGGGAAACTCCAGAGCCACTGGGGCGGAGCCGATTGGACGGATCGCGAAATTGATGGTGTATAAACCTATTCCATGACATTCTACACGTATGTACCAAGTTTCGTGGCAATCGGTTCAGCGGTGTCTGAGTTTATCACTGCCAAACAAATATATATACAAACATCCTCTTTTATATTTATAGATAAATTGGTGTAAAATACCTGCATTAATGCGAACTAGTGCGTTGCGGTATGGCAACCGGTTTCGAGTCACATGAGAGTCATCCTCAGGCCAGTCAAGATGTCTTGTCCCTTCACATGAGGGTCGTTAAATGATAATTATTAATAAATAAGACAGCACGCACATTCACACATTTAAATTTGAACATTTATGAGAATGACGGTAAAAAACAAAGACAATACTGAAGCCCAAATACTATGATCACCACAGATCTCAATCGTATCTATTGCGCTAAACACGACACAGCTCACTAGATTAATACCTAAAATTGTTAACACAAACTATATTATTCCTACTATCTTCATAAAATATATCAAATACACGTAAATTAATTGGTAAACTTTATTGTAGAACTAATTCAACACAAAAGATAAATGTAAACAATAACAGATAAAAACAACAATAATCATCTGATTATTTAAGCATATGGCAATCCTTCCCCCTATTAAGCTGATCTTAGTTGGTCGCAGTGTCTCTTAAATAACCGCCCGTCTTCTGATTTAACGAGGTACATCACATGCCCAAGCGGCCTTTCTACTGTTCCTGTTGACCACTTTTCTCCTGAGATGTTTGAGTAATTTCTCATTAATACACCTTGTCCCTTTGAGAAACTTCTTCTAGTTATAACTTGATTTTTATTTTGCGGGGTAGGTTTAATCTCAACCATTAAAGTCCATTTCGGTTCTTATGTTTCTACCAAACATGTAAAGTATGGAGATTGTCCTGTCACCGAATGGTGTGTCTTCCTTAGATGTTTCAAATCAAATCAAATCAAATATGCTTTATTGATAAAGTACAGTTTTGTACATTGAATGGCGTCAACTAAATCTATCTTACAAAGAAGGCAGGGAAGAAAGATTGGATGTCTGAGGACACGTGGAAAAAGTGGAAGACAGAAGAGAAGTTAAGAATAAGATAAATGTCATCTAAATTCAAATACAATATATCTCAAGAACCCCTCAAGGGAGAGGAAACCCTAGGCGAGTTACCTCGTTTGACACCTAGAAGCATCGGTCCACCCAATTAGTTAATCTAGTGAACCCACAGTTCTGGTTGAATCCGATCTTGAACCTAAACAAACACGTATAACAAACACGTATAGGAATACTTTAAATGATGTTTTAGGCTTAAAGAAGGCAGGGAAGAAAGATTGGATGTCTGAGGACACGTGGAAAAAGTGGAAGACAGAAGAGAAGTTAAGAATAAGATAAACTCTTGCAAGACCAGAGAACAAAAGAGGGATATGAAGATACTCTATAAGGAAGCAGATGTAAAAGTGAAGAGAAGTGCAAGGACTGACAAACGAAAATGGATGAGCAAACTGGCGGAGAAGGCTGAAGTGGCATCTAGGAAAGGAGATATGAAAGAACTATATAACATAACAAAAAAGTTGTCCAAAGAGAAAAATTAATGTAGGTAGACCAGTAAAGGATAAGGAAGGTAATCTTTTAACAAGTGATCATGAGCAGATGAAGAGATGGCATGAGTTCTTCAGTGGGCTATTTGAGACATCGGAGGATGATGGAAATGTGGATGAAGGTGACCTGGTGGGAAACATAGAAGGAGAAGAAGAAGAAAACATAAATAAAAATCCCCCAACGGAAGATGAGATAAAACAAGCGATAAAAGAAACAAAAAACTGGAAAGCTCCGGGGTGTGACAACATTGCTCCAGAGGTTATAAAGGCAGCACCAGATATAGCAGCAAAAGTTTTAAAACCACTGTTTGAAAGAATCTGGATTGAAGAGATTATTCCCCAAGACTGGAAAGTGGGATTTCTTTGTAAATTATCTAAGAAAGGGGACTTAACAAGGTGCGAGAACTGGAGCGGTATATCCTTGCTATCAATCGTTGGTAAAATGTTTTCAAGAATAGTATTAAATAGAATCAAGGATGTAGTAGATAGGAAATTAAAAAAAGAACAGGCTGGCTTCAGAAGAAATCGCTCATGCATTGACCAGATCAACACAATGAGAATAATAATCGAACAAATGAATGAATACAGAGTTGGTATATATCTGGTTTTTATAGACTTTATGAAAGCCTTCGACTCTATTAAAAGGGACCAAATCTGAAGAGGATTGACAAGACTAGGAATCCCTGGAAAAATAATTATCCTAATCAATGAAATGTACAAGAACTACAGTTGTAAAATTATACACAATGGACATTTAAGCAACCCGATAGAGGTAAAGCTAGGGGTGAGGCAAGGTTGTGTCTTGTCACCAACCCTCTTCCTGTTTGTGTTGGACCAGGTGTTGAGGAACATAAGTAGGAGAGAAGCAAAGGGTATTTCCTGGGGTCTACAGCAGAAGCTTGAAGAACTTGCATTTGCAGATGACATCTGTTTCTTAGCCCACAAATTCAGAGATATGGAAGGAAAACTTGCAGTTCTTGAAAAAGAAGAGAAAGCTAGAGGGTTGAAAGTCAATGTCCAAAAGACAAAATCAATGAGGATCAATCCAGTAAATAACAATATGTTTAAAATGGCTGGAGAAGAGATAGAGGAAGTGGATTCTTTTACATATTTAGGGAGTGTGTTGTCAAAAAATGGAGGGGCAGATGATGATGTAGTGGCCCGAATCAAGCATGCAAATGCTGCATTTGTTCAACTATACCCAGTTTGGAGAGCTAGGGAAGTATCAACCAGAACAAAGATAAGAATATTTAACACCAATGTAAAGTCAGTTTTACTTTATGGATGTGAAACGTGGAAAGTCTCTCTAGCAATCACAAACAAGCTTCAGGTATTCGTGAACCGGTGCTTAAGAAGAATCTTAAGAATCTATTGGCCAGAAGTAATCTCTAATAAAGATTTGTGGACAGCCGCCAAAGAGGATCCCATACATATACAAATTAAAAAACAGAAGTGGCAATGGATAGGACACACTCTGCGCAAGGATCAAGACGCCTTAGAAAAACAGGCCTTGAGCTGGAATCCCCAGGGACAGAGGAGGAGAGGAACACCGAGAAAAACATGGATAAGATCAATTGAATCCGAAATTAGAGAGGCGGGTATGAGCTGGAGAGAAGTAAAGGCATTGGCTGCTAATCGTGTCCGTTGGCGCTGTTTCGTAGAGGCCCTATGCTCCGCTAAGGAGTGACAGGAAATAAGTCAAGTAAGTCAAGTCTGGTTGAATCCGATCTTGAACCTAAACCAATCGAAATTTTCTTGGCCAGATTTTGCAATTCAGGCAGAAATAATCCTGCATGGATCCATACGATTAGCAGATGTAACTTTTTAAAGACTTGCCTGCTTTGAGAAAATTGTACAAATAGTTTACACCATACCTAATGAGGTTTGTTTTCTTAAATTTTGTACATTTAACATAATTATGAAAAGCATAGTTTTCAAGCAAGTGTTCTGCATTCAACTATCTCAAAACATTGCCAGAAGTAGTTGTTTGTGCGTTTTGGACGTTTATTGCTTGTATTGATTTACTCTAAATATTAAGTTACGCAGTTTTTGAGAAAGCATTCTGAAATTTTTCTTATACGACACTGTTATGTGAATTAGGTATTTTTTTGTAAAACAAAAATGCAAAAAATACTTTATATCCTTTTTGGGCAATAATATAACCCAAGTCGTTGCCAACACAAGAATCAATACTACAAGTGTGTTGCCAACATGATGATATTATCAACAATATTTCAAAGTAAATAATAATAAAGCATTGTACATTTGTACATAATAGCCTATTTAGATAAAAATATTGATTTGAGAATACCTAGCTATTTAAAATTGCAGAATCATGTACAGTAGTTGTTTTAATTTCCAATAACATAAGACAAATGTTATTTGTTATAACCTTATTTAGCTAAATAAATCAAATCTGTAAAATACTGTACCTATTCGATCAGTGGCCGTTGCCAAATTGCGACTTATTTGTGCACTTAAGACTTTCTCTGTATTATTTTATCATTGGTCATCATTCAATTTTTTTTCCTTTATACTGTGTTTAGGTCGTGGCTTGATTTTAACATGCTATGAATCTTTGTTTTGTTTACATTTACGTCGTTATTTTGTAACCATCATAGCAACTAACAAGACCAATGTTAAAATTTACAAATTTTGAGTTACTTTGAAATTATATGGGTATTAAATTAAATTGAAATTGGTTTTATCTAAACCTTCCAAAAATTTTTCAAAACAACCTTAGTAAGTTTGGCTAAAATATGATCAGCCGTTAATGAGTTAATGTGTTAGAAAGTTTGCAGCCGTTAATGAGTTAATGTGTTAGAAAGTTTGCATTGAATTCGATCTTAAAGAGCTTCCCTTCGCTCCGCTCAATTATCTTTGATTTTACCAACATAAATGTTAAAATTTAAATGTGTGAATGTTGATCTGTCTTATTTATTAATAATTATTACCGTTTCACAACCTTCATATAATGCAACAAGACATCTTGACTGGCCTGAGGATGACTCCCATGTGAGTCGAAACCGGTTGCCGTACCACAACGCACTGGATTGCACTAATGCAGGTATTTTACACTAATTCATAGTACAACTTTCAATATAAACTAAACAATAATTGTGATACCATGCATTACTCCATAAAGAGATTTAAGGCAGTATAGTAACATTACTTCCAGTACTTACTTGCACATTTGCATGTTATGGGTTACAACCTTCAGAATTTCAGAACTAAAAAAATAATATCATAACTAGTAGCATGTAAAAAAATTAATTACCGTATAGCTCTGTTATGGTTGCATGCAACAGCTACTCTTGCTGCTTCTTCTGTGTTTTCCCTGATTAAGGCCAGAGGTGTTAGAGTCTGAGAAACATCACAACCAGGCTGGTCACGCCCGTTGTTGGGGTAGAAATCTACATGACCACACGGATCACTCATACCATAGCCTACAATAGAGTCAATCATTAGGGACTGATAAAGTGTCAACTGTCTGAGAAACATCACAACCAGGCTGGTCACGCCTGCTGTTGGGGTAGAAATCTACATGACCACAAGGATTACTCATACCATGGCCTGCAATATAGTTGATCATTAGGGACTGAGAAAGTGTCAACTGTCTGAGAAACATCACAACCGCTGGTCATGCCCGTTGTTGGGGTAGAAATCTACATGACCACACGGATTACTCATACCATGGCCTGCAATATAGTTGATCATTAGGGACTAAGAAAGTGTCAACTTTCTGAGAAACATCACAACCAGGCTGGTCACACCTGTTCTTGGGGTAGAAATCTACATGACCACACGGATCACTCATACCATGGCCTGCAATAGAGTCGATCATTAGGGACTGAGAAAGTGTCAACTGTCTGAGAAACTTCACAACCAGGCTGGTCACACCTGTTCTTGGGGTAGAAATCTACCCCAAATAATAATAATAATAAATAATAATAAATAATAATAATAAATAAATAATAAATAATAAATAATAAATAATAATAATAATAATAAATAATAAATAATAATAATAGATCTTTCACCTGCCTGTAGCTTGTGGTTGTGACTGAGTCCTACCTGTCGTGTACGACTGACATTTTGTGAGGCATATCCTCGACTTTGGAAGTAGCCTCGTCCTGGGAGGTGAAATACCTAGCCCCCAGAGTTAAGGTAAATGCTCCGTGTTGGTATCGGCATTTTCAAGTTGGCCACAGACATGGACGACTGGGCATTGGGTCCCAGTGACATTCCTTTATCCAGGATGGAGGGGTGTTTAGCTCTAGGAGAGATGGAAGTACATCATAATCTCTAACCTACCTGTGTCTGTGGTTCTTTGGGCTTCGGCCTGCTTGTTGTGTGCGACCAGCATTCAGTGGGCAAATCCTCGACTTTGGAAGTAACCTTTCCTGGAGGTGAAAACGGGCAAGTACCCGCAGCTCACGGGGACACTCAAGGGCAACGTAACTTTCCGCAGTGTGAGGGCAACGGTTTGTAGGTACTTATGCAAACCAATCCCTGTCTCTGAGCACGGACGGTATGGTTATCTTGAGTGTGGGGGGTTCTTCCCGGAACCTCAATTGAGTCAAGGGTGTCGCCACCTCTGGTGGATAGGTTCATCCGGGTGGGTCCCACTTCTATACCTGCCTCCTTTTGGGAAACCCTGATGGCCTGGCAGTGATGTTGGGTCTGACGGGCAAACGAAGTAGATCGGGTGCTGGGTCCGAGCCCGCCAGGGGTATCTGGGGATCTATCGCTCTGGTTATCTCTGGTTTCCCAGCAATGGGTAAGGCCTCGATCGGGCAGCGGTGTAAATGGGAGGTTGGGGTTCCCCCCGTCAGCGTGCTGACGGTCCCCTTCCTCCCGGCTATTGATGGCGGGTTCTGCCTGTCAGGGATTAGATAGGTCCCGAGTGTTGCTTGCACTAAATGCGTCGGGGCGCTCTACCATGGACCTCTAGGTCTCGACCTAGTGGAACCCAGGTGGAGTGACGCTTAAACAAGCAGCCGGAATCCCTGGTTAGGATTGAGGGGCAACCCTCCTTCCGAAGGGTCTGCTTCGGCAGCCGGCGAGCCTGATGACCTTAAGTCATCCGCCCATGATGTGCTAAAGGTTGATGCGTAAGCTTCGGCCTACATCATGGGGCCCGGGTATGTCCTAAAGGATAGGTACCGGGTATGCAGTCAAGGGGCTTCGGCTCTCATGACAAAACGAAATGGAAAAAAAAAATGGTAGAAATCTACATGACCACACGGATCACTCATACCATGGCCTGCAATAGAGTCAATCATTAGGGACTGAGAAAGTGTCAACTGTCTGAGAAACATCACAACCAGGCTAGTCACACCTGTTGTTAGGGTAGAAATCTACATGACCACACGGATCACTCATACCATAGCCTACAATAGAGTCAATCATTAGGGACTGAGAAAGTGTCAACTGTCTGAGAAACATCACAACCAGGCTAGTCACACCTGTTGTTAGGGTAGAAATCTACATGACCACACGGATCACTCATACCATAGCCTGCAATAGAGTCAATCATTAGGGACTTAGAAAGTGTCAACTGTCTGAGAAACATCACAACCAGGCTAGTCACACCTGTTGTTGGGGTAGAAATCTACATGACCACACGGATCACTCATACCATGGCCTGCAACAGGGCCGTCGCGTGGTTTTTTGGCGCCCGGGGCGGGATGTTGCCAGGCGCCCCCCCCCCCCCAAAAACAGAATGAGTGATGATGTCGCTATCTTTGTTTTAATCCCCAAAAACAGACACCTAAAGGGATTGAATCACCTTACAAAAATACTAGAGTTAGGAATCTGGGATTGATTATTAGGGATAAATTACTTAAATTTTGTACGGAAATCTTTTTTAATTGATGATAACCAAATCCCAAAATATGTAAGAAAATGTTAAATGTATAGCAAATTAAAATTAATGCAATGTATGCAAAACCTCAAACCAAACCTACTCTGAATAGAATTGTTATACAGATTAAGAGAAAACCACGTTATCACATTTAGATATGAGATCCTAAACATTAAGTGTAAATAACTATTAATCACTCATCAAACTAAGCTGGCAGCTCAGCTGAGACTGCCGTAGGAGAAAGGAGTGATTGGGGTAGGGGTTGTTCCCAAGGTCGACCGTCGGCCGGTCGGGCGAATTAAAAATAGAATACGGCAGCTACGTGTACAGAGCAACACCGCGAACCGCAATATTAAGATAATTAAGACATTGCAATATATTAAGATAATTAAGGTGGGACAGAGCCTTCAACTCCACAGTGGAGTTGATTGTTTAGGCTATTATTACTAAATTTAATTCAATACTATATTGATATTTAATTTGGAAAACATTTCAAATTATAAAGTGATTGGTATCAAATAATATGTATTTTTCAATAAAGGCATACAACGTAATATTCAACATTCAGTTACACACACGAATAATAGAACTAGTATTCGTGGTTATACATAACTTTCCAAAATACGTTTTCTGTGGTTATGTGCATCTTACTTTTTTTTTATTTGTTGCATTACTTTTGCCGCGGCGCCCCCCCGACCGCGGCGCCCAGGGCGGTCGCCCTGGTTGCCCCACCCACGCGACGGCCCTGGCCTGCAATATAGTTGATCTTTAGGGACTGATAAAGTGTCAACTACTGTCTGAGAAACATCATAACCAGGCTGGTCACGCCCGTTGTTGGGGTGGAAAGCTACATGACCACACGGATCACTCATACCATAGCCTACAATAGAGTCAATCATTAGGGACTGAAAAAGTGTCAACTGTCTGAGAAACATCATAACCAGGCTGGTCACGCCTGTTCTTGGGGTAGAAATCTACATGACCACACGGATCACTCATACCATAGCCTACAATAGAGTCAATCATTAGGGACTGATAAAGTGTCAACTGTCTGAGAAACATCACAACCAGGCTGGTCACACCGGTTGTTATGGGGTAGAAATCTACATGACCACACGGATCACTCATACCATAGCCTACAATAGAGTCAATCATTAGGGACTGAGAAAGTGTCAACTGTCTGAGAAACATCATAACCAGGCTGGTCACGCCTGTTCTTGGGGTAGAAATCTACATGACCACACGGATCACTCATACCATAGCCTACAATAGAGTCAATCATTAGAGACTGATAAAGTGTCAACTGTCTGAGAAACATCACAACCAGGCTGGTCACACCGGTTGTTATGGGGTAGAAAGCGACATGACCACACGGATCACTCATACCATAGCCTACAATAGAGTCAATCATTAGGGACTGAGAAAGTGTCAACTGTCTGAGAAACATCACAACCAGGCTGGTCACACCGGTTGTTGGGGTAGAAAGCTACATGACCACACGGATCACTCATACCATAGCCTACAATAGAGTCAATCATTAGGGACTGATAAAGTGTCAACTGTCTGAGAAACATCACAACCAGGCTGGTCACACCGGTTGTTGGGGTAGAAAGCTACATGACCACATGGATCACTCATACCATAGCCTACAATAGAGTCAATCATTAGGGACTGATAAAGTGTCAACTGTCTGAGAAACATCATAACCAGGCTGGTCACGCCTGTTCTTGGGGTAGAAATCTACATGACCACACGGATCACTCATACCATAGCCTACAATAGAGTCAATCATTAGGGACTGATAAAGTGTCAACTGTCTGAGAAACATCACAACCAGGCTGGTCACACCGATTGTTGGGGTAGAAAGCTACATGACCACATGGATCACTCATACCATAGCCTACAATAGAGTCAATCATTAGGGACTGATAAAGTGTCAACTGTCTGAGAAACATCACAACCAGGCTGGTCACACCGGTTGTTGGGGTAGAAAGCTACATGACCACACGGATCACTCATACCATAGCCTACAATAGAGTCAATCTCTTAATTCTTCTTGGGCTTCTAAATAATAACTACACAAAGTAGATTTAAAAGATTTATTTTGATAATAAAATCAACAGACTACAGAGCACAAAGCTACATTTTGGAGATGACACGGAAGTAGTAGTGAACAAGAAGAAGTCACATGAGCTTAGCTTAGAGTAGTTTTACATAGACCTACAGAGTAGTCTTACATAGGCCTACAATGGTAAATATAATATATAGCCTATGTATATAACATCTCCCCCCTAAAAATAAGGATTGAGAGTTCATGAAAACAAAATTGAACACACAATATTTACAAAACAAAATTAGTCTTCAAACCTTATTGGTTTTTTAATTACTCTTCCAAACCTTGTTCGGGATTGAGATGGGTTAGGGGTTGCGACAGGAGTCAAGCTAGTTTGGTTAGGTGTTGAGGCAGGAGTTAACCTAGGTGGAACAATAGGCCTATCAGTTTCATCATACAACTGAGTCATTGGATCTTCACTTGAAACTAAAGGGAATTTGTTAAAGGATTTTCTCAAAAATACCCTA